AATGCAGAGAATTAATTGAACATCAAATTTTCTGGCAACCTAGAATGGGCTCATCATTATTCTAGTATGACAATTAGACAGGGCTGGGTGCTTTATACTTTCTTGTTCCTGCAGATTTTGCGATTGATGATAATATACACAATGTTAGTGATGTGGGTGAGGATGGTCGATGGAATGTGGAAAGGCTATTGGAGGTCTTACCAGAGGAGTTTGCAACACATATAATTGAGAGAGTTAAGCCTCCAGTTATATCTAATGATTTAGATGTTCCTTTTTGGATGCTAGAAACAAAGGGTAATTTCACTGTAAAGTCAGCATGGGATTATTTAAGGAGGAGGGAGGATCCTAGAAGAGCATATTGTTTGATTTGCGTAAAAGGTATGCCTTTTAAAATTGCTTTCTTTATGTGGAAAATATGGAGAGAAAAGCTGCCTCTTGATGACTTCATGCGCAGATTAGGCTATTCAATGGTATCTAAGTGTTGGTGTTGTGCATAACCAAATGAAGAAACACTAACACACCTATTCTATACAGCAAATGCAGCAAGGACAGTGTGGAATTTTTTTCTAAACAGGGCAAGAATAGCAACAGAGGGACTGAGTTTGCATCAGGCAATAACAAAGTGCTGGACAACACCTGTACTGCCAAGAATTAAACCAATACTACAAGCCCTACCTTCGTTTATCTGTTGGGAATTATGGAAAAGGAGAAATAGCTTAAAACATGGTGAAGTTGTATCTGTTAGTCGGGTTATTTATCAGGTGTCCAACAAATTACAATCACTGATAAAACTGAGAAAACCAGGACTGCATGTTCCTCATAAATGGCAGGATATGTTATTGGTGCTTGAGAATTATACTCCTAAGCTGAAATTTGAGAAAGTGCTTTGGGAGTTTCCATTGGAAGGTTGGATTAAAGCTAATACTGATGGTGCATCTAGAGGCAATCCGGGAAGAAGTTCGATTGGGGTGTGCTTGAGAGATGAATATGGTGATGTTCAGTATGTTGCAGGTAGGGAAATTAATGAGGGCTCAAACAATGAAGCTGAAGCTGAAGCAATGGTGGAGGCATTGAGAATATGCAGGTCATTGAATTACTCTAACATATGGCTACAAACTGACTCGTTGTTACTGAAAAATATAATAGATGGCATATGGAAACCTCCAAATATTGTGGAACAAGTGGAGGAAATAAGGAGATTGAAGGAGAGATGCAACCTAAGAATATCACATGTTTTCAGAGAAGGGAACAAGCTGGCAGATCACCTAGCAAACTATACATTGGATTTTGGTCCTATTGAAGCGTATCATTTTAGAGATCTGGACAATCAAAGCAGGAAGATAGTAAATGAAGATAAATCACAATGCCCGTATATCAGAGTGAAGGTTTCAAGGAGCTAAAGGATGCAACAAAGGGGATCGGTGCTATTACCAAACTCAGATCACATAATATACTATTACTGGCAGACAGAGAAGGAGTTCTGGTGTTTCTTGCTACGAAGGCTCGATTTATTAAAGACACTGAGGAATCTGCAGAATTTTAGAATTGTATAATTGGTGTTGAGATGCTTATTGCTGATGCCGGCCAAACAAGAAGATATCTATCTAGTCTCTCTTCTTCTGCTAGCAGTACTTCTGAAAATGCTGGGATTGGTTGTCAATCTGGAAAGATGTATATGATAATGTCTTACCTTACTGAAGAACTACAGATGGTAGTATCAATGCTATGCATTCAATCAACTAGAAGGACACTAAAAGCAAAACACAAGAAGTTATGAAGTGGTAATACTGTTCGATGTTCAACTGCACATGGATATCGACACAGATTTTGATACTGTATATGCACTTTTGTCAAGTTCAAGAATAAAGCTTGGGAACATAATTCTTAAAAGATGGGCTGGTCATCACACCTACTTGAAATATGGGACAGTATGCTTCTTAAGTATGCAAGACTGGTTCATATGGGGGAGAGCACAGAGATCAATGGATGAAAGAAACAACTTTTTTGGCTCTAAAAATGGGCTGAATAATTTTCATGAGGCATGAGGAGCAAGCATGTTTCAATTGGAGATGGCGAGACTTAGAAACGAAAACTGGGAATCTCTATGGAATGGCTCAGTCTCATATGCAGCTTTACACAGGCCTCACATGATATCCAAGACAACTGGACAAAAGATAGTCAAATGTCTGATAATGTTCAGTTGGCCAGAGGAACGTTTGCGTTGCTTTTGGTTAAAAGCTTTGGTTTTCTCTAAGGCACGCCTTCTTCGTAGGGAAACTAACAACATTGGACCCCTTTGGGAGGAGGAAATAATGCCTTTAAACAAACAAGTGTGCATGCCATTAACAGGGAGCATGGCCCAAAGTGATATCTGGACCATTGGGATTTTAGATGAGGGCACTAGAGAGATTAATTTGGTCAAAAGAATGGGGCAAAGTTTGGGCATATCAGCAGAAGACATGTGCGTGGGACACAATACAACATACACGACCCAATTTTTTGAGACTTTCAAGAATGCTTTTGGCTGCAAATATCATTCTCCACAAATAATATCTGGAAATAATAGAACAAAAAAGTCTACTATTTGTGTGGGCAGCTATAATGAACATGCACAATGCAGGAATGCTAATGCAACAGTATCTCTTAATGCAACAAACTATTGTGGAATCGAGATAGCTCTGAGGGAAGTTTGGAGCAGCTATGAGTTTGACAAAGCAATGAAGGGGAATATGGAAGCAAAGAACAAGGAATGGGTAGTTGAGAGGGAGTTGGGCAATACTAACAGTCAATATCATCGAATCTGTAAAGAAGAGAGGGTACTGACAGATGTTTTCACTAACCATGTTTTCTTTTTTACAGGAAATGTTAATATACTCATGCCTTGTCTCCTAATACGACTTTATTGGGTGGTATTAGCACTACGTGCTCAATCCCGTGAGGAAGGAAAAGAGACAAGCACAAGCATGAGAGGTTTGAGTAGGATTACATCGCAAAACTGGAAAATCAGCAAATTTATGGCCAAAATGAGTATCATGTGGATGAATCATTTGAAAATGCAGGAATATATATATTGTGTGATTGATTGTTATACAATAGTCTACAGGAGTGAGACAATACAAGAAAAGAAAGGCAAAAACAACACACTCATACGGGCAGCTTTGGGCACGAGAGGCAGGTTTTGGCAAGGATTTATGAGTAACTGGGATGTGTTGTGGAACTTCCCCCTGAAGCAGATTTCAACTACAACAATACAGTTAACAGACTATACAAGGAGTCCAGCTGGGAACATGTGGTACAATCACAAAAAAGAGGTCCAAATTTATACAATGGAGTAGGTCATGTGGCAAGGTTATCTGCAACATTCGGGTAATTATCAACCACAATGGGCTGACATATCAACACAACAAGGTAGAAGGACAAAGCAGGATGAAGCACATGTAAGGATATCACTAGAAATCAGTTCAATAATGAACAAAATGCAAGGGATAAACAATGATCGAAGGCACGAGGGTCTTGAACGTCATAAGTTCTGGATAGTGGCTACTGGGTGCAATCAACTGAAGATACATATCTGGACCTATTTTAGGTTTTATTACCTAGGACTAGTTCTTAGTTTCAATTATTATTTTAGATCATATGTGATATCAATGTTGAACTTACTCGATATTGATAATAGGTGTTATGTACGAGTCAAAATTTATTTCTTTCATACAGTTAGACCACCTGTCACTCAGTTTGTTTTTTGACAAGCGTTAATAGGATTAGTACAGTAAGGTTAGCCCGGTTTGTGTTATATGGGTAACAATACCGCTGCTATTGTCCCCCTTATTTGTACTTTTCCTAATTGATATATTTTGTTTTTTGTTATTAATAAAAAACTAGCCCTAGGCACTTGCCTAGTGGATTGCCAAAAAAAAAAACCAAATCTTCATCCCTTCAATGACAAAAGCCAACTGAAATGGAACCAGTCAACCAAATTCTGCATATTCCCCCTAAACCACCGGATATAGAAACTAGAATCCTAAGCAAAGAAGTCCTGAGCTTTAAAGACAAATTAATTGAAGGAGTACAACACTCTGCTATAATTGTTGATACCCCTACATACGTTGGTACAACTACAAAACCCCAAAAAACAAACCCACTATCCATAGACTCCAATTCTATTGAAGAACAGAGAATTCACTTGACGGAGAAAGACCATGAGGGTATATATCGAAAAATTTTATTTTGTGTCTCATACAACTGACACTAGTTGTATGAGGCAACTTTTTTGTCTCACAGTTTTGTGGACCCAGATTTCTGTGGACCCAGAAGTGTAAGATTGTGGTCCACAAATTTGTGAGACAAAAAGAAGCCTCATACAACTAGTGTCAGTTGTATGAGACACAAAATAAAACTTCTCATATATATCAACCATGGAAATATTCTCATATTATCAAACTCCATGGCAAAAAAATCCAACATCATATTCTCAAAAGAAAAATTCAAGAAGCTTGGAAAATCATGTAAAATTTTCCGCTAATCGACTTGGGAGCAGACTATTACATAACAAAATTCAAATGCGAGGAACACATGGTAAGAGTTCTAAACAATGGCCCATGGTTCATAATTGGTCATGTTCTCTCAATCCAAAGATGGAAGCCAAACTTTGTGGCAATGAAAGTAAAAAGCTCCCTCGCAGCCGTATGGATTCGTCTACCTAGTTACCAATCGAATTTTATGATGTTATTATCCTAGCAAAAATTGGAAATACCATTGAAAAGTTATTAAAAGTAGATGCGTGCACATCCTCTACGATTAGGGATTATTATGCCAGATTATGTATTGATCTTCCACTTTAGGTTCCCGTCATCCGAACCCACCAATCGTCTCATGAGTTGCCGCTCCGTTATCCCCATTTTTGCTTTTTTATGCTTCGTTATCCGTATTTTACGGTATCGGGTTGGTCGGATTGAACCGGAGTGGTTTTGATAAGGTATGAGACACTTAGTCTCTTTTAAGAAGGTTTAAGTTGGAAAAGTCAACCGGATGTTGAATTATGTATTAGAGGGCTCGGATATGAGTTCCGATGGTTCGGTTAACTTCGGGAGGTGATTTATGACTTAGGAGTGTGATCGAAATGGGTTTTGGAGTTCGGAGTAGAATTAGGCTTGAATTGGCGAAGTTGATATTTTGGCGATTTACGGTTGATAGGCGAGATTTTGATATAGGGGTCGGAATTGAATTTTGAGAGTTGCAATAGCTTCGTTGTGTCATTTGGGATGTGTGTGTAAAATTTCAGGTCATTCGAACGTGGTTTGGTTGGGTTTTTAATCAAAAGCGTATTTCGGAAGATTTTAGAAACTTAGGCTTGAATCCGATGTGTTTTGGGTGATTTGATATTGGTTGAGGTGATTTGATGATTGGAACAAGTTTGAACGAGATTTTAGGATGTGTTGGTGCCTTTGGTTGAGGTACTGGGGGCCTCGGGTGAGTTTCGGGTGGTCAATCGGATCATTTGAAGTTGGAAAAGATTGCAGAAAATGTCGTTCAGCTGTTGCAGGGATTTTACCCTTCGCGTTCGTGAGTGGAGCCTCGTATTCGCGAAAAGGCAGTTGAGGAAGGCAAGAATTAAGCCTTCGCATTCACGAGAAGGGCTTCATGTTCGTGGAGGGCTGGCAAGTGGTGCATTGCGTTCGCGAGAAGGTCTTCGCGATCGCGTAGAGGAAATTGGGTCAGATGGGTTCAAGGTCCAGTGTTCTTCGCGTTCGCGGATGAGTGAACCCGTTCACGAAGGTTAAGGTGGACGAAGCATCGCGTTCGCGATGGCCATTATGGGTTTGCATAGAGGAAAAGTTGGTCAACGCGAGTTTATGCTTCGCAAACGCGTGGGTTTGACCGCGTTCGCGAAGAAGGAAATATAGGCCTTGGCAGAATGTTTGTAAGTTGTCTTGTTCGCGATTTTTGGGCTTATTTCACCCATAACTGCTCGTTTTTGGAGATTTTTGAAGGAAATTGAAGAGGGATTCATGGGGAATCGTTGGGAGGTAAGATTCTTGGACTAAAAACTTGATTATTATGTGAATTCCACCTAGAAAATCATGAAAGCTAAGTCTAAAATTGAAGAACTAGGGCTTGAGAAACGGGACTTTTGATTGGGGATTTGGAGGACCATTTGGGGTCGGATTCGAGAACTTTTGATATGTATAAACTCGTGGTGATATAAGGAATCTAATGATGTAAAAATTTCTGAATTTCGATAAGTGGGCCCGGGGCTCGGGTTTTGCTAATTTCGGAATTTGTGCCCTTTATTGATTGTTTTCGCTTGGGCTCTGTTCCCTTAGCATATTTTGACGTCCTTGTTCTGATTTTGGATAGATTCAACGCGCGTGGAGGCCGATTCGAGGGGCAAAGGCGTCAC